TTGCTACATAAAGACACAATATATATATATCATACTTATTATAAAACCCAGTTTGTGTGTGCGTGTGTGTATGTGTGTCTGTACGTTTATATATTGGATCGGATTTCCTACATTTTTCAACCGATTTCAACAAAACTTCACAGGACTACATAAAATTATCTTGCGGTGGTTCTGACAGTGCCAAAAATTGGAAAAACACAATTGTTTTTGCACAAAATCAATTTGAAAACACGATTAAGAGGCATCGCAAGAATGAAAGGGGGACAACTCATATCGAGTTATACTTATTATAAAACCCAGGTTGTTTGTGTGTGTGTGTGTGTTCATTTATATATGGGATCGGACTTCCTACATTTTTCAACTGATTTCAACAAAACTTCACTTTTTTTTTTTGGCAGGTAGTGTTTCTTATTGTCTTGCACACTTTTCAGAATGCTTTAAAAATTCCATTTACAAGACAATTGTTTATAATAAAATTCTATTCAATCGGTAGACTCATAACGATTGAAAACAATACAATGTTTTTGTTTGAGTTTGGGTTTGACCAATTTGTAAAAAAAAAAAAAAAAATAATTAAGACATGCGTGTCCGTCAACCTTAAACAATAATCTTTGTCAATTTTATTCTTCAGTCTTTATGGTGGTCAATCCTTGATCTATCTCTTACTGTTACATCCCCGGGCAATGCTGGACTCTACTGCTAGTTATTTATGAGTTTGGTCTGATCAGGAACACATCTGAATTATGCTGGTAGAAAAGAAAAACACGTACAAACACAAGAAAAATTAAATAAAAAGCTTAATTGCAGTACCTTGTCAGTTGTCTTCAATGAAACATGTATAAAAGAGGGATTGCTATGTAAATACACAATATATATATATATATATATATATATATATATATATATATGTGTGTGTGTGTGTGTGTGTGTTTGAGTTCAAAAGTATATGAAGGCCTATGATAATATTAAATAAATTTGCCTATGTTTTTCCAGATAATCAACAAATCTTAAACTATATATTCATGAAGAAAAACTTTTATTAAATGAATTACAACTATTTTCAAATTTTTAAAATTATCTTAAGGCTTCACTTATTTTTGTACACTACTATATATATATATATATATAGTACTGTACAAAAAAATATATATGGCTTGAAGTTAAACAAATACATTCAATCAATAGCTGCATGTACTGCAAGGAAAATTGAACCACTGTATCGTGCCAGAAGGTTTTTCTCATCGCAGTCAATCTTGCACATTTACATTCAATAAAATCAAAGTTGCAGCTGATCTCAAAAATGACCTTCAATTTGTTATTAACTGGGGCAAGAAATGGCTTCTTAATTTTAATACCTTCAAAACAAAACTGCTCTCTTTTAATCACCTTAGAGAACCTTTTTAGTCTTCCATTAGTATGGCTGATGCTAAACTCCAGGGGAATGACTTCTTGCAATTTCTTGGGCTTATGTCTTCCACTGATATGAAGTGGGATGATTATATTGAAAATTGTTAGGTCTGCTGCTCGCAAAGTTGGTTCACTGCATTGTGCTCAACAATTTTTATCACGAGAATCTATCTTACACCTGTATAAGCCTACCATTCATCTGTGCATTGAGTATTGTTGCCACACCTGGTCTGGTGCTTCTGATATGTATTTAGGGATTCTGGATAAAATTCAAAGAATCTGCATTGTTACTGATCCTGACCTGGCATTTCAACTTCAGTCACTTTCCCACCACCATAACATAGTTTCCTTGTGCCTTTTCTGTAAATACTTTCATGGTAATTGCTCTGATGAACTTTCCTCTTTGGTACCTTGACTATGAATTTGAGTGCAGTACTAGATTGGCAGCTTGGTCTCATTATTTTACAGTTGAAATAGCTAGTTGTAAACATAACTTCTATGCTAACAGTTTCTTCTCTTGCCCTTCTCATTTGTGGAACTCACTTTCAAATCAAATTTGATCTTCAAAAATTTAAATGTAATGACATTCACCATTCCTGTTCTTTAATAAAGCTCTCTTCTTAATAATATTTTTTCTAAGATTCTTTCACACTCAGTAACCCCTTGCATGTTAGTAGCTTTATCACTTTGCTTGGGATGAAAGGATTAAAAAAAAAATAAATCAAGACTAAATACTAAAAAAACCACTGATAAAGTCACTGGTATTTTTTATGGTTAACTTCATTTCACACTTGGCTGGATATGGTAATTCAACAAATGGGGAATGAAATTGCTATACTTAATTACTAAAGTTCTTCCATTACTATTTTTTTCTTTTTCATTTTTTTTCTTTTTTTGAGGGAGGTCAAAACAGGCAATCTAATTTCTCTTAACATTTGATTTAAAAAAAAAAAAAGGAATCAAAACACATTTTCCGGCGTAGACATGTATATACATTTTTACGAAAAGTGTCTTTTTCAGACAGGATAACATGTCCAGAACATAACATTCAAAAGCCAGCTAAAAATGTGTTCATACATTGATCTTGACTTTTTTATGCCCTTCTGAGCTCGAAACAAGTTCAATTGTCAACTCATATGTCTGGTAGAGGTATTAGCCAGTGCTTGGATATTTACTTCAAAGTGCCTCAGTTACTTAGTAAGTATATTAAAAAGAATTAAAAAAAGAAAATAATTGTTGTGGAAGGTGTTAAGATATAAAACTTACTCAAAGATTTAAAGGATCATTTGATTGTTGAGAGAATCATCAATTGCCCACTATGTTCTAGTTTCAGTAATTCAAGAGCAAAACTGCTATGTGTACATGGACATCTCCCCAGCATTGCTCATAATGCAGTACTTTCCCTCTTCACTCAAAATCAAATAGAATGACACTATGGAAATTATTATAATCCTTGTATAAGCTCATAATTTCTGTTTAATATTGTAAGGATAACACTGGAACAAAGATTAGTAAAGAAATGGTTTAATCACATGAAGGACATGGATTAATAATACAATAATAGCAAATACCATAGTTCAGTATGGCAATGCGTATAACTCAAAACTATGTCTTGTGACCCTGTTCCTATGAACAGATGTTCTACTCATAGTGAACAGAAACATTAATAATTAGTGGAAAGAGAAAAGAGTAATCAGGAGGACAGTAGATAGCAATTGATAGTGCATTTAAATTTTTGTAGATTAAAGTTGATTGGAAAGCATCTAGCCAGAACTGTGAGAAAAGAAACTGTTAGCATAGAACTTATGGCTATATCTCGCCAGATCAACTGTAAATTGATGCGATCTCAACACCAGTCTAGTACTGTGCTTAAATGTAAAAAGTCTTGGTACCATAGTGAAGAGTTCATCCGAACAATTACCATGAAAGTATTTATAGAAAAGGTACAAGGAGGTAACCTTATGGCTATGAGAAAGTGACTGAAGCTAAGATGCCAGATCAGGACCAATAATATTGCTGATTCTGCTTTGGATCTTATCAAGGAGCTCAAGATAAATAGTAGGGGCACTGGACCATATGCGGAAGCAATATTCTAAGCATGGGTGAATGGTAGATTTATAGACTTATACAAAGAGAAATATATTAATTCATTTTTAAGGGACCTTTTGAGTATAAAATAACCTGCTTTTATGTTGAAACTGACTCAATTTTTAATTTTACTTACTTCTATATAATAAATGCAAAAATGTCTGTGTGTCACTTTTTCAATGAAAGGGACACAACTTTCTAACTTTTCAATATCTCATCTTCTATATAAATAAATGCGAATGTCAGTGTGTCACACTTTTTCAACTTTATATTTTAGAGACAGTAGCTCAACATATCATACAATTTTGAAATCAGGTCAACTCTGTGAGCAAACTTAAAAACATTCTGGGTCAGATCCAGACCCACAATCCTGATATTTTGGGTTCCCAAGTTTTCATTAATGCGATTGTTTTCGGCAATTTATTTTACATGATTTTTTACAACAAATTTTTTTGTATGATAACAGTTTTTATATCTTGAAAATAAATTTGAGAATAATCAAAATTAACTGTGAAATCCAGCGAAAGTCACCTATAAAATAAAAATAATTGTTTGTACGGAAAGTAAGAACCTGCATTCATCAAATTGTCTTTAAATTAAGATAGCGGCAGAAGAATTATCTTTGAACTTTTAAAAGGTAAGCTTAAATATTAATGCAATATTTAAATACAGTAATCAATTTTGAGTTCTGTACTTTATTGTTGCCTATCGCATATGGCAGCAGTATGACTCACAAAAAGAAGTCTCTGTCAACAAAGGACCAGATTGCAGATCAAAAGAGCCAAGGCTGCAGCAAGGAAAAGAAAGTCCTGTGCAAATGAAAACCCAGATCAAATGGCAGCCAGGAGAGCTTCCAATGCTGAGAATATGCAATGACTTAGAGATTCTCAAACTCCTGCACAAGCTGATGACACAATCAAGAGTGCTCAATAGGGTGGCTTTTAAGCTAATTTGTAATATTTTTCATCTTTTAAAAAGTATTTCTTTTGAGCCTAATTTAATTTATTTATTTCCCATTTACATAATTATTTTATTTCATTTTATTGTATATTTTCATGCATTTTTTATTAATAAAAGTCTTTCTCTGAAAAGTATTAAAAACTATATTTTTATCTGTTTTATTGCAGACAGTTTTATGGCTTTGATTCAATTGAAATTTTTCATGTTCCAATGTTGCATTTTACCTCTTAGCACTCTGTAGGTAACTTTGCTGATAAAAAAAATTCTCTCTATTTTGCCACTGCAGACAACTCTGATCAACACCTGATATAATGTCTGAATTTTGAGGTTGTGTTGTCATCTCCTGACTTGGCAACTAAAAATGAATTTGACTGAAATTGACAATGGAAAGCTTGCTGTTTAAAGACATTGAACGAGAATGCAGTGGAAAGAGAAAAAATAATAATAAATAATGCAGAGTGCTAAAGGTTTTTTTAGAATTATCATTATATTAGAATATTAGAACAGTTGGTAAAACAGTGTTTTGACTTTTTATTTCCTTTCAGATCACATACATAAAATACCAGATTTCAATACCAGTTACCCGAAGATCCCAGTACATTCTGTTAGCTATTCTGATGCAGAGGTTCTCATGAGGTGAGTTTCATACTTTGTGGGTACATTCCACTTTTTACTTGGTATGTCAGTATTTATTAAGTCCAGTATAGTCTGGCATTGAAAATTAGTCAAAATAGGACAGATGAGATAGTGTTATATCAATCTGACTATATAATCTGAACAATCAAGAGTGTAGGACTCACCTTTGTAAAATCACCTTGCAGAACTGCTGATTTCTCAGGAAGCTTCAATCACATGCATTCCCTACCCCCATCCCTAGCGTTTTACGTGAGCCCCCTGAGCCAAGTGCCAGGGATGCCCATGAACCCAATATGCATATTTCACATGCCAAAGAAAATGAAACATCACCACCCAGCTTTGCCCAGCCCCCAAAAGTCGCCCGTGCATTGTCCAGATTACTCTTATACAATCAGCCAGGCCACAAAGTACTCATTTCCCCTCAAAGGCCATTAACCTCATGTGATGGGGGTGGGAAGGAGATGAAAAATCAAGAGTGTGATACTCACCTTTGCAAGTAGGTTTCCGACTAGCATCCAGTTGGCTGACAAAAATAAACAGGGTTGTAACTCAATATATTTTCCTCTCTTGAATAGTCACAGTATGCTGGATATTTATTGAGCACAATATCCACACTGGAATCATCAGCCAATCAGAATTTACAGAATAGGCTGGCCCGGGTAACTGAATGGAATTTCCCAGGCTTTTATATAAACCACCTACCAATTTTCCCAGCAGATAAACTTGGTCAGTCAGACTTAACTTCCATTAGAGTCAAGTACTGTCTGTTGCTATTACCAAATTCTACAGACATGGGCAATCATGGATCTCTACAACTTGTATCCTTTGGCAGTGTTTCTTTTTTTAGCGAAGTCTCTCTCCCATGTTGCACTATCTATTCACACAAACTTGTCAGTTAGGTGGCCCACTGCGTTACAAGAAGCCGTCATAGTTATGATATTGTTTTACTAACCATATGTCCGCTATAAACAATTTTATACAAATGACTGCATTAAGAAAACCAGTATAGAATTCAATACTATTTGAGATCTTATACACCTGGAAAAGTCCCTATACACCTGAACAATCAAGAGTGTGAGACTCACCTTCGCAAGGAGACTTCCAAATAGTGTCTAGTTGGCCGACAAAAATAAACAGGGTTGTAACTCAATATATTTTCCTCTCTTGAATAGTCACAGTATAAACTGGATATTTATTGAGCACAATATCCACACTGGAATCATCAGCCAGTCAGAATTTACAGAATTGGCTGGCCTGGGTAACTGAATGGAATTTTCCAGGCTTTTATATAAACCACGTACTAATTTGCCCAGCAGATAAACTTGGTCAGGCAGACTTAACTTCTATTACAGTCAAGTATTGTCTGTTGCTATTACCAAATTCTACAATAATCCACATTTGAAATCAGGGCCTTTATTCAAACAATGTCTGATTCTATCTTAGTTATTATTTTCAGTCTTCTCTTTTTGATTTCTGTTTATCTTCATTTTCATTCTCTTTGATCAGTCTCAATTTTTATTCTTGCCAATGCTACATGCTTAACAATCATAGAATCTAAAAGTAAATTAGACATTGTAAAAACAATCAGAATCCATCATTAAAAATTCAGGATGGGGAATTATTAAATGCTAAGCACATCAGATTCTAAAGTACGAGTAAATACTAAACACTTCAAATACCTTGGTGTATAGATAACAAATTTAGTATAGGGGAAAAGGAAATTGAACATAGAATATACTATACTAGATGTAGTTTTGCCTAACATGGCAAACTGCTAAAAACCAAAACATTAACCCGAAGACTCAATTCATATTCTTAAATAGCCTTGTCAGATCATGACTTGCATATAGATGTCATACATGGTACCAAACTGACTCAGAAATGTCAAAACTGTCAGCTGCACACAAACGCATTCTAAGATCAATGCTATCCTATTCCACTGCCTTTGTATTTTAAAAGTGGCTTTAAGTAAGTGAGGCATGAGGGTCTTAGCAAAGACCATGCTTACTTGAACAATGTGGGCTGGTGCTACATGATCACAAACAAAATACTGTACCAAATAACAGAAACCACCTCACTTGAAGACTTTCAACAACAGCAACAACTAAAATGGATATCACAAGTAACTCAAAGAGTAAATAATGACTTAATTGAGATGTTGAAGTTCCACATAACTTCAGACAAAAGGTTAGGAAGGGAACCCCCACATCAATACTGAAAATAGCTATAACAGCTCCTGGACTTGAGAAACCAATCTTCTGGAAAAATTATTTTAAAGGGAAGATTTTATAAATTTCAACTAAAATTAGATCTTGCTGCTCGGTCAATGAATGCTGAATGTTTCCTTATAAGGAAATGGCTAATATCACCTGTAAAAGAAGATACACAATCCAAAGGGAATAACAAAAGCAATTTCTTGTTCAAAGTGACAAAGCTTCACCAGGCATATATAAACAAACTGATAAAAGGAGAAATTGACAGAGCTTAAATAAAGCTCCAGGATTGAACCACTTTAAACCAGCTGGGGTGCCAAGCTGCTTTCAGCTGATTTAAATACAACTATCTTCTATGTAGATCTATCCATTGCTATTTCCAACCTCTTTACTTTCTCTGAATTCTGTTAAATTCTCTGGTTTTGTACTTTTCTACTCATTTTGTTTTCTCTAGTTTTTGTTAAATTCTCTTTCTTGTGAAACTTGTAGGAGTAATGCTGAGCAGCTTGGAATATGAACTTGGAGAACTGAGTTAGAATTCCAGTTAGGTTCATCATATAATCTTATGTAGAAATACCATTGGATCTCCTCTCCCCAATAATGGGTTAAATAGTTGGACTTGAACCCTGAAAAAAAAACTTGTTATTCTCGAAAAATTGTTAAAGCAATATTAACTTGCAAAATAAATAGAAAGAATTATCCTTACAATCCAAAATATGTTTTGGCTTTAACAAAATAACCTACAAAGGGTTGATAAGCTGTAAAAAAACAAATCAATCAATCAAACTTTCTTGGGTCTTATTCTAGATTTTTTGCATTTTTTGGTTTTAGTTAAATTCTCTTCCTTTTGTCCTTCTTTCTTTTGGTTTCTGTGATTCCTGTTATTTTCTTCAATTTTACCTGAATATAAGATCTGAGCCATATTGTCTTTAAATGTATGTTATTTTTTTCTATACCACAGTCTAATAAATCACTAAGATATTGAAAGACGTTCATTTTCCACTCACTGAAGGCAAGATGTGACACAGGCTTTTTCTTTTTCATATTGGAAATCCATCTTCCCCAACTCCATGCCAGAAAATTGACTAATTCACTCAGTTATTGCTGCAGATATCAGAGTGCACCCTTAATGCTAATTCTCTTCATGTGGTGAGAAGGTGATGCGTGGAAATGATTCTCCAGTTCACGAGACTACAATTAATTTCAGTTTCTAGTCACACACAGCCAGAAAACTGGTAAAAAATGCAAATTTCTTTTCCATGTTGATTCCTAAAATTAAACACAGTCAATAATAATATTACACAATTGCAGCAAGAAAAATGGAAAAGTTGACATTTCATGGACAAATTAAATCAACTTCATAAATTCAGTTATGAAATATGACAAATGTGTGCTTGCTTGTAGCTACTTTAGAGAGTCAGCAATTTTGATTGTAAAAACTATCATCATACGTATATAGTAATTTACTAAGCATAGCTTAGAAGTGGTACAAGGCCAAAATTATGGCACACCCAGTAATTAATAATATATATATATATGTGTGTGTGTGTGTGTGTGTGTGCTACACAGTCATAATTGATATATATATATATATATATATATATATATAAAAGTGAACATAGAAGTCAACACTTAGAGGCGACAGTCTGTTTTGCTATATGCAATCGTCAGGCCTTATAGCATGAAACAGACTGTCGCCTCTAAGTGTTGACTTCTATGTTCTTTTATATTCACTCTATCTCTGATAAATATAGCACTTTATCCCATAAATATAGCACACCTTAAGACTATATTTCTTCATATACATATATATATATATATATATATATATATATGAGGCATTGTGGATGTTGGGGCGCACCCACCTTCTTATCAGAAAGGACTGATCTCTCTACTACTAATAGGACAGTTCTATAGAGTTCTGAGAGATCAGGTGACCATCACACTTCCGTCTCTCTACCGGAAGATACAGTTGGAGTTTATACTCTTTCTGATTGTTACTGACTAACCTGCGTTCGGTTGACTACTAATCTCTCTGTTGTAAATACCTCTTCAGATATACCAGTATTTTTCCCTACGTGTGTGTTTATCCTTATTTCAATACATGCACGGGGAAACACCCAACATCTCAACAGTGGAGTAATGGATAAGCGGCTTGGATTGAGGAATCGAAGAGCCAAGTTTGAATTCCAGTTGGATCCATTACGTTCACTTACATGCTAATACCCTTGGGAAAGGTATGAATCCTCTTCTTTTCCCTCAACTATGGGTAAATAGCAGGACAGACTGGGTTCTATAGCCTTGGATGACAACTGGTCTAGGAGAAGGTAACTCTGAATTCAAAAACCAGCCTTGAGGAGAGGTTTGGGCTCTGTCACGCTATCTTACCCAAGAAATACCACTTCTGCTGCCGCTGCAGTACATGTGGTTCTTCCACATCCCTGATGGGTCACTGGATTCACGATATTTATTTATATATATATATGTGTGCGTTTCATTAAATGTAATCGATAGCAAAAGTTTTATTCTTTTTTCTAATGTTTTTTATATTTTTCTAGTTTTTCTCGTTTTATTGACACTAATTCTGCCTAACCCGGATATAAGAGAAACCCGGATATAAGAGAGATTTTCTCTGGTCCCAAATTAGAGCCTGTGTTAATGTATATAAAATAGACCAAACCCTGATATAAGAGAAACCCAGATATAAGAGACTTCTTCTCCAGTCCTGACAACTCTCTTATATCCGGGTTACACTGTATATATATATATATATATATATATGTGTGTGTGTGTTTCATTAAATTTAATGGATAGCAAAAAATTTTATTCTTTTTTCTAATCTTCTTTTATAATTTTCTAGTTGTTCTAGTTTTATTGACATTAATTGTGTCTAGTGACTATTGTCCCAAGTGCTTTAGGCCAATTCATTAGCCATTTTCAAGGGTTTTGTTGTTAGTATATATCTCTATGTTTATGTCCTAAGCTGTGTTGTGTAAAAGCAGTAGAAATTCTAAGCTGTGCTGGATTACTAATACTCCTTAGCAGTAATTCCATGCTGGGATGACTTTAAAACTCTGCCAAAATGTTCTGTCCAGATTCAAAGTGAGATTGAGGCTTGACTTAAACTGCTTTATATAAAGTGCTTCTATTATTGACTTTTACAATTAGAGGATAGTTCTATCTACAAGGATTTTTCTTATGAGAGCAAGGAGTTATGTATGAGTGTTTAAGTGTTTCCTTATCAAACTAAGATCACTTATGTGGTTTGTTAGTATAAAACTTAATGATGTCATCCAGCCAATGTAGGTGTTGGAATCGTCTTTCTGTTGATTACAAGAAACATATCAGGCAATGGAATAATTATAAGCAACAAGGAGTTTTTTAAAAAAGCAAAAGCAAAAAGGACACTTATTCATAGAATCAGAAAAGGACATGAAATTGCTGGTCAGTATAACAAGGAAAGAGAGCTTAGAGAACTTGACACTCAAAGGACATATTGAAGACAAGAGGGGTAGAGAAATCAATAAATAACCTATTCTTGCGTCAGTGGACTGGGACTGGAAGAGATAGTAAGAGGATAAATGTCAGTGAGAACAACAAAGGAAAGGAAGTTGTAAAGAGCCACAAATACCATGTTTTGAAGGGACACAATACATAAAAGAAGAACATGATTCTGTAACATACAACAGAAATCTGAAAATTTGAATGCACAATGAAATGGCAACAGATGTCTTCTCTTGCAAAACAAAAGAAACAGGAAAATGTAATTTGAAATAAAAAGTACTGCTGAACTGCTATGTAATATCAATCCTCTTATATTGCAATGAATGCTGGAGAATTTCCTCCTAAATGAAGAGGAGACATAAGACAACAGATATGATTCTATAAAAGGGTGCTAAGAATACCATGGATGGAACATGTAAACAATGAGGAAGTATTTAGGAGAATGGAAACAAGAAGGACTTGGAGGTATACTAAGAAGACAAGCATTACTTAGAGCTACAAATGATAGGCAGTAATGAATGATGATGATTGCCCGCATCTTGAAGGAACATAGCACAGAAATAAATGATGCAAAAATCAACAAAATCTGGTAATATTGTGAGGTATTGTTAGAGAACTCTAGTGAAAATGATATTTCTGTTATCTAAAATCATACCAGATCCTATGGTTATCTGATAATTACCTTATTTGATAAATTTTAATTTTTTATTTTAAATTTCAGGAATCTGACGGGCAACCATATGGGAGATGCCTGGCTTGGTGGATTAGACATCAGCTATAATACAGGCCCAGGCTACATGGAACCAAATAATAACAGGTAAGCTCTATATTCATCCACTCTTTTATTATGTGTTTAGCATGCTTTTATTTCATGTTGGGCATTCTTTTATTATGTGTTTAGCATGCTTTTATTTCATGTTGGGCATTCTTTTATTATGTGTTTAGCACTTTTTATTACATGTTGAACACTCTTTTATTATGTGTTTAGCACACTTTTATTACATGTTGAACACTCTTTTATTATGTGTTTAGCACACTTTTATTACATGTTGAACACTCTTTTATTATGTGTTTAGCACACTTTTATTACATGTTGAACACTCTTTTATTATATGTTTAGCACACTTTTATTACATGTTGAACACTTTTATTATGTGTTTAGCACACTTTTATTACATGTCGGGCATTTTTTTATTATGTGTTTAGCACTTTTTATTACATGTTGAACACTCTTTTATTATGTGTTTAGCACACTTTTATCATGTATTGAGAACTCTTTTATTACATGTTTAGCACTCTTTATTACATGTTTAGCACTCTTTTATTGCACGCTGAGCACTCTTTTATTATATGTTTTAATTGCTGTCTACTATCTTCTTAATTTCTCTTCTTTAGTGTTCGCTCCTTAGCAATGTTCCTATTTCTAACTCTTCTACAACCTGTAATGTCTCGGTGACTTTATTGCCTTGCAAAAATGTTTATCACTATTTTTTTAGTTGTTTATCACTTATTTAAGTGATAGATTTTTCAGTTTTCGTTCAGCTTTATATGAAGAAGTTCTTTATGTAAGCAAAAATCATTTTCTCAGATCAGAAATTAAAAATAGCTATCCTCTACCTTTACAAGAGCCAGATCACGTCTAAAATGGAGTACTGTTACTATATATAGGCAAGAGCTGCCCACTCTTCACTTGTCAGTCCCAACAGATTCCAAAATCATCTCTGCATCCTTGTGGGTGATAAATTAATTTCCATCCTGTGGCCCTTTTTCACCAACGAAATGTCACAAGCCTCTCACTGCTCTATTTCTAATTCCATGGAAACTGTTCAGATGAAGTATATTACTTAGTTCCACCTGTTCTAACCTTCATGGCTAAGACCCACAATGCCACGTACATAGTAGTGAATCACCCTCATTTCCCATTGGTGAGATGTAAGTTCCACTTTAGCACCTTCATCCCACAAACTGCTAATTTGTAGAACGCACTTCGAAGAGGATGTTTTCCTGATCACTACAATATTATCCTGTTCACATCTAGGGTTAATTGTTATCATCCCAACATATCTGTCAAAATAGTGCCTTGTACTCTGTAACTCTCTAACTGGCGTGGCTCATGGGGCTTGTGCAGGTTGAATATCATTGTAAAAAAAAAAATGAATGAACCCCGTAGTTTTTAAAGAAGACAATACTTCATTGGATCTAGATGCAAATGTGCTATTGTAATAGTTTCTTTTCTCACACTTCTCGCCTGTAGAATTCTCTTCCAGTTTCCTACCACCTACAATCTTCAAAAATTTAAATGCAATGCCTGTCTATATTTCTGAGATGAGGTATTATGTACACTATTTACATTATTTGAACTATTGTTCTCATCTTTGTTGCCATATTTATTACGTTTCAGCTGTTGTACGCTCCGGCTTTCTTCAGGTGGTTGGAATGTCAAACTAAACCCTTTATTTTGCTCAAGGACACATATCACAGTGGGTAAAGGTGTTAGTTAGATCCAGTGACAGGACCCAAATGGTGTGAGTTCAATACCCGGTTAAGGCAGTGGAGAACTTGGAGAGAGGAATTAACAGGAGAAAACTGATAACTGACATCCATTAGACATGACACATGGAACTAGAACAGTTTACCACAGTTAGCAAAATAAAGGGTTCAGTTTGACATTCCAACCACCTGAAGAAGGCTGGAGTGTACAACAGCTGAAATGTTGTAATGAATATGGTGACAAAAATGAGGACAACAGTCCAAATAATGTTAATAGTGTTAAATGCAATGCCTATTGCGTTCTTCCCAAATCCTATATTTTTATTGCCTTTACTCCTGACTAAATTCTTCTCCTTCTTTTTCACTCTCAGTAACCCCTTGCATCTTACCAGCATTATTGCTTTGCTTTGGGTGAAATGATTAACAAAAATACATACCAAAGGGAATTACTTCAAAAGGAGTGGTCAAATTCTCCTAACTTTTGTATACTGTATATATTCATGTATCATGCGACTTTTGAAGACCTAATTTTGAAGTTAATTTTAAGAGGGTCACATCATACATGAGATATAAAATTAGCATATGTACTGCTGGCCCTGTTATGCAGTTGACCAAATTATATATCCATTTACTGTAGACAAATTAGCTCCAAGATTATGTCTTCAAATGTCACAACATACGAAATCAGATGTACTGACTGGCTAAGAAACGAAATACATTGGCAAAAAGCATCAGCAAATGTTCCTGTTGCTATGTCCTGAGATCCTTGCAACTGGACATGTGCACACAAATGCACACATACATGCACGCATTTATTTACACTATTTATTTATTATATTGTTTATTGTAATATAATATATATTAGTTTCGGAGTTGTAACTCACCAGAACAACCATGAACAACACAGTACAACACCTTACGACAGACAATGCTGAAGACAGCAAGGTTTTGACGCTGTGAGTTTTTCTTCTCAACCATTGAGAGAGGTGGCTTAAGAGCAGCTGTGATTTTCTTGCTCACTTCTGTTCAGATCCCCACTCTCATAAATATACCCATATATATACCTACATATATACATATACATGCTTACATATATACAAATATAACACGCACACATGCATATACTTATATCCACATATACAAATATATTTACATACATACATAGGTTTATTGCTGAGGTGTAAAGAAAAGCTAAAGAGTAACCTCTCACCTGTCAATGTGCCTCATACTAACTTCAAGTGAGTTGCACTGGATAGAAATAACTGGAGATATTTGTGACAGAGTGGTATCAGAAATTTTGAAATCCATTGTATTGTGAGGGTAAGAAATGAAATACAATGGCAAAAAGCATCAGCAAATATTCCAGTTGCTATGTCTCACAATATGTGGGCTTGTATGCAGGACTGAATTGTCATATACGACACAAACATAAAAACTGAATGAGGTTGTTGAATCATCATACATCAAAATCGAAGTTAGATTTCATCACACACACACATATATATATATATATATATATATATATATATATATATATATATATGCCCCCAAAATACCTCAGTTGGTGTCAAGGTACATGGTTAACAGACTGAGAGTGATAGATCATTTTGGTAAGCCTTTGATAAGGTACAGTGTAACCTGGATATAAAAGACCCGGATATAAGAGAGATTTTCTTTGGTCCCAAATTAGAGCCTGTGTTAATGTATATAAAATAGACCAAACCCAGATATAAGAGACTTCTTCTCCGGTCCCGACAACTCTCTTATATCCGGGTTACACTGTATATGCCTAGCAGGAAAACTCTAATATAATATCCACCACAGTGTAAATTAAGATAGCTCTCATCTGCTTGTCTTTGGGATTCTTGGCATCGGTGTTCAGCTATTACACATGTGCACACAAATGCACACACACATGCATGTATTTATTTACACTATTTATTTATTAGATTGTTTATTGTAATAGTTGGCACAATATTGGTTTAATTGCCAATTGATTTAAACTTTATAAAATGGTAAATAATAAAGATTTACTTATAGTTGGTTCATATATTTTAATAATTTACTAAATGCTTATAAATTTATGAATAAAAAAATATTGTTTTCATATTTATTTCTTTGTAAATTCCTAAATGATAAATACTGCATTGCATTAGATTTAATATAATTGTATTAGATTTTAGAATGTTGTAAATATAAAATTATTCTTGGAAATAAACAATCTAATAAACAGTGATTAATATTTTTGCTGTAAATTCTCCAGAACAAAACAAATGTATAACTTCACCTTCATATGTTTAGGTTTGATTACAATTCTAATGATTGCTTTTTAAAATAATGAACATTGCCAAAGAGTGAAAGTAGTCAAAATAAAAAAGGTGCCATGGAAAAAAGAAACATTCTTATCACATTCGTTACTCTGTTTTTTGTGGGCACAAAGGCCCATATTTACCAGAAAAACATCCTTGTTGCATTTGTCACTATGTTTTTTGTGAGCACAAAGGTTCATATTTACCAGAAAAACATCCTTGTTGCATTTGTCACTATGTTTTTTGTGAGCACAAAGGTTCATATTTACCAGAAAAACATCCTTGTCGCATTTGTCCCTCTGCTTTTTGTGGGCACAAAGGTCCATATTTACCAGAAAAACATCCTTATCACATTTGTCACTGTTTTTTGTGAATACAAAGATCCATATTTACCAGAAAAACATCCTTGTCACATTCGTCACTCTGTTTTTGTGGGTACAAAGGTCCATATTTACCAGAAAAACTTCCTTGTCACATTTGTCACTCTGTTTTTTGTGAGTACAAAGGTCCATATTTACAAGAAAATGTCTCTAGCGATAAAACCCAAACTGTATACCTTTTCAATTTAAGAAACTACCATTAAGCCAGGTATGCTTTAGCATTAAGTTATAGGAAGAATGAAGGTAGTTAAAATAATAGCAGTGTCAATAGAGAAACTGACTTTATGACACTATATTATTTTACAGGCATGAAAGTCCATGTTTGCCAAAGGCTGTAACTAAGGTTATGCAGCTTTCAAATTGTGTATGTGTACATAGTGGCTGCTCATTGTGTATGTGTACATAGTGGCTGCCCATTGTGTATGTGTACATAGTGGCTGCCCATTGTGTATGTGTACATAGTGGCATTCCCATTGTGTATGTGTACATAGTGGCTGCCCATTGTGTATGTGTACATAGTGGCTGCCCATTGTGTATGTGTACATAGTGGCTGCCCAACCCATGTGTACATAGTGGCATGCCCATAACCACAAACTCTGAAACCCTGATGGTACTTGTATGATTGTTTACCATTATTCCTAACTTGCACAACACGATTTATGAAAGCAGTGGGTAAAACAAAGAAGAGAAGCAATAAGTGGTGTTAAAGAAAATAAGGTGATCAAGAAGTGCATCAAAATAAAAATAAGAGTGGAAACAAAAAAAAAAAGAATTGAGAAGTGAAGAGAGAAAAGAAGTCTCATAGTGAAGTATCTATGTCATATTCCTTCTTTTTTTTTTTTCCTTCAGAGTGGTGAAATTATCAGTGAACAATCAGAGGTCAAGAAGAGACATCAGCAACATAATAGGAGTCATCAGAGGAAAGTATGAAAAAGGTAAGTGATTCTTTGTTTTAAAGACTTTAATATCAGGAGCTGAACTGACAGATTTTCTTTGAAAGGTGCACAAGCTTGATCCAAATATGTCTGAACTATCCACAAAAATAAGAAAAAATGCAAAGAAAAAAAAATACAGCAGTAAGATAACAGCTCTATGGTGAAAAGTTATTATCTGGCTTCTATCATGAAATTGCCACTTCCCCCCATTTTGTGGATGTTGTCATAGTAGTAGCATTGTTATTTGTTGATATCGATAAACATAGAAGAGGATTGAGAGGTGCTTTCCTTTATACTAGTTCAAACCTTTTGGCTTGTGACCCCCTCCCTCTGCAAACTTACATTCTCCTTATGAAAACTACATCATTAACATCTCCTGTATTGAGAGAAAAATAGTTTTTATTAAGCAATTCATGTTTCCAGGGCAACCAGTTGAGAAACTGGATTCAAAGTTGGAATGACAAATGAATCGTTTTGGAATCCATAAAAATTTTCCTTTCATGTATTACATTTTCAGTTGGCAAATACTTATTGAATGATTGAGATATGGCAGACAGATGTCCCCAGAAAAAGGGATCAGTCAAGTATGTGTGCATGTGCTTAAAAAAGATAAGATTAATTGCAATACTATATATTAAAAAAAAAATGGGAATACCATTTAAAATCATAACCCCTGAAGACTGTAAATTTTACCAAGAAACATCGATATTGAAATAAAATTGATATTTAAAAGTCAAGTAATCTTTTCATATAATATTATATTATTTTAATATTTTTAATATTGAGCACTATATATAAAAATATCTGCTGTTTCTTAAATATATATATATATATATATATATATATATATATATATATATAATAGAAATTATTAGGAGGATTTGATAATTATATTTAAGTAATTCATTGAGTCTGAAACCTCAACAGAATGCAGAAAGCACTGGACGGCCGTTTCGTCCCATATTTGGGACTCATCGGCACTATACATCCACTACTGAGAATTGAAACCCAGACAGCTACATTGACAGGCAAACGTCATACCAACTGTACTAACGGGCCTCGGTGATGAAGAGATTGCAAATCAGACTCAATATAGCTCGCTCACATATTCCGTGGTGGAACTCTGCTGAGTTTTTCTCTAACCATAGGACTGTGCCCCCTGGAGCCACAACTACTATTACCAACCCGCTCACTCGAGAGCATTAGAAGCCGGTTCAAGCAATGATATACATTTGATAATTATATTTAAGTAATTCATCGAGTCTGAAACCTCAACAGAATGCAGAAAGCACTGGATGGCTGTTTTGTTCAATATTTGGGACTCATCAGCAGTGCGCATCCACTACCAAGAATTGAAACCCTAACCCTCACCGAGGCCCATTTGGAGCAGTTGGTATGATGTTTGCTTGACAACCTAACTGTCAGGGTTTATATATATATATATATGTCTGGAAAGTAACTTAATGGCTAGTTCAGACATGATAAATTCGTGTCCAGGCTCTTACAATATATCACGATTCTTGGTAGATATTATATTGTCACAGTGTGGGATAGTCAGGGAAAAAAAAGATGGAGAGAAAAGGAAAAAGAATACAGATGAATTTGGCTAGACTGAAAAAAACAAAAATAAAAAAATTTGAAACTACCTGCGTCTCTCATTTTGTGCACATGTGTAGAGGTGGCAATGTCAACAAAACCCAGTCTGATGAAATCTTAATGGATGATATGAGTCACAAATAAAATTTTCCAGTTTGTCATATTTTTCTTGGATTGGATTGAGGAATCAGAGAGCTTAGTTTGAATTCCAGTTGAATCCATTACATTCATTTACATGCTAATACCCTTGGGAAAGGTATGAATCCTCTTCTTCTCCCTCCAGCTATGGATAAATAACATGACAAACTGGGTTCTATAGCCTTGGATGGCAACTAGTCTAGGAGAAGTACAATTCTGAATTCAAAACCTGCAGAATGTTATTTGGAGACATTGTGGCATGTAGTGCACCAGGTCTCTGTATTTGGCCCTTCAAAAAGTGTGGATGGTTCTGCACAAAACCTTCACAACTATAATCAAAACATGTGCTGGTGTCGGGCTCTTGGTTCCTAGAAACTGATCTGCTTGACCCTCATATGTTGAATTTGACAAGAGTGTCAAGAAATATATATATATATATATATATATATATATACATAAAGAAATATAGTCTTAAGGTGTGCTATATTTATGGAATAAAGTGCTCAATATCATAGATAGAGCGTGTGAATATAAAAGTGAACATAAGTCAACACTTAGAGGCGACATTCTGTTTCATGCTATATGCAATCATTTCATATGCATATAGCATGAAACAGATTGTCGCCTCTATGTTGACTTTATGTTCACTATTATATATATATATATATATATATATATATATATATATATATATATGTAATGTGTGCATATGTGTGTATTTGTGGTGGGATCAATTACAGGTCAAATATGGATCAGAATCTGACAGAATGATAGAATAAAGAAGAAATAGAAAATGTTTATAAATCTAACATGTTTTGCTTTTATTAAAGCTTCATAACTGCATCTCACTGGGCTGAGTTTGAATTCTGACAGAAAGTGCATTTTTTCCTCTATTAAGATTTTCTCAAATATTCAAGTCAGTAGATGAAAATTAATAAATATGTTGTTAATAAATAGAGTGCCTGCTCAAATATCAGTAAATACTAAAAAATAATGTTTAAAGTGATAAAATCTGTCAAATTAATAAATGAAAAATCTATTACTTCTTTAAAAAATTGCAATAAAGTAGTTCTGTATTTTTGGTCATTTTTTTCAAACAGTTAAGTTGTTTGCCAGTTTCTTAAAGCAGTCTTTTATTTGTCAACCACAAAATTTTATGTAATAAGCTGAACAAGCATATAACTGGCTAACATTATGTTGAATTACCTCCCCACAACTTTTGCTTTTGCTTCTTGGTAAGTTTTAATATCTGATTTTGATACATCTTACAAAACAATGTAACACTCTGCATTTGCCCATAAGGAAATTGTCTAGCTTTTATATGCAGACAACTTTGTGTTATGACCTATGTTAAAAAAAATTTTCTGGTGAATTTGAATTTAGCATAGGTCACATTCGATTGGTTAATCACTCAAAACTGACAAGTCTATTTTTAAAAAGTATTCTGCTTCTTGAAATCAAATTAATCTTTTACTTGCCAGTAGTTTAACACCACCTGAAGAGACACATTTATTGTATTGAAACATAATTGTAATTGTGTAGCAATTTTTTATAACATATTTTAATGTCCTAAAATAAATTACACACACACATACATACATACATATATATATATATATATGCATATACTTGTATTAATGGTTACACATGTTGGAAGTCCACTCATGACTGAGCATGACCACTTCTTAAACTCATTCAGAATCATTTCCAGTTTTCATCTTCTTGTTGGTGTCATCTAACATGACTCTTAAGTCCTGACACTGATTTGCACTTGAGGCCACATGATGTATGTCACTGACCACTGGCTGATCTGGATATTTTGATTTAAAATCCCTTGTTAGGCCACTAGAGTTTCTGTATACCTTGTCATGGATGGTACATGAAAAGTCATCCTGAATGTCATATGGAACAGCATTATGTATCTTTTGGTGTGATTTCATATGACTGGCCAAGCCTGTTTTCAACAAGCATATACACCTAATGTTACAAGTCAGGTCTTCCTTATTTCCCTTTTCTGGAAGAGGTGTAGCCTCCGCCATATACCAAGCTACATGCTTAACTTCTGCATTTTCAATCCTTCTTTCCTCAAAGCCTTTCATGACTTGTACGATCTCACCCCTTCACCCATCTCTATACTTTGTTTCCTTCCACATTTGAGTATTAATGCAGGCTTTCCTAAGGGCGTCCTTCAGGCTGTCTTTAAAACAATTTTTGGAGCTTACAAGCTGGTTGCTTGCCATCTTTACATTCACCATACATGACTTGTATAGGCATTTGATTGTTCTCAAGGTGAACATGTCCACATCAACAGAAGTGGTGTTTCATGATAATAGATTCAATGCTGGGGAGATCTGTCCTTCGATGCACCATAGTATCTGGAGTGTAAGTTTGCCATAAGATTTTCATAATTGAGTGGAAATACCTTTGATGAAAGCATTCCAGATGTTTGATGTACCTTCTTTAAGTTATCCACATCTCACATCTGTATAAGAGAATCGTTAAGACACAGGCATGATAAACTCTGATCTTTGTGGTGATAGAGAGTTTGGCTCCAAGCTTGCCATAGGCATTACATGCTGTTGATACTTATCTCTTCATCGAGGGTGTTATCTCTTGAGAGTGTACTTCTCCAGGCATACACAAGTACCTCCAATTTCTTGCTGTTGACAAATTGAAGGAGGGATGCAGGTTTTGCCCAGTGCAGGTTGGTTCATTACTACAGTCTTCTTCGAGGTAATTGTCAGGCCAAACTTGTCACAAGTTGCAGAGAAACAATCCATAAAAACTTGTAGATTTACCTCAGAATGGGTGATGAGGTCAGTCATCAGCGTAGAGCAGATCTCTCATGGGTATGATGAACATTTTGGTGACTGCATCAAATTGGTAGAGGTCGAACAACTAGCCAGTTGTTCGGTATCAGATACAGCAATTCATTATATTTGAATGCCCTTAAAAAGACCATAGCAAAGAAGATCACAAAAGAGGTAGGTTCAGGTAGATTGCACTGCTCCAACCTAGCTTCCACTGAATTAGGGTCTAACAGGCTTAACAGCCTCCCACCATCACAGATCCACGCCTTCATGTCATCTTGCATTGATCAAATCAGACCAATAAATTTTTCAGGGCAACCAAGTTTTGACAGAATCTTCCAGAGTGCTTCTCTGTTCACTGTATTGAATGACTTTCTCAGATCAATAAAGCACTGATACAGGTCCAGTCCTTGTTCCTGGCACTTGTCCTGTAATTCCTGAATAGTAAAGATATATCCATCATCCCCTGATTAGGTTGGAATCCACATTGTGATTCTGGCAGTAAGTTTGAGGCAATGTGCTCAAGCAGATGATTCAGGAGCACTCTTGCAAACACTTTGCTAATTACTGACCTCAAAGAGATTCTGTGATAGTTGTCACATAAGTCCTTGGGGTCTTTCTTGAACAAAGACATAAGTATCACTTCTCTCCAATCCTGGGGTACCAGTCTTTTCTCCAAGACCTGCTGAAAGACAAAGTGTACCAGCCTAACCACATTTTCACCACCCCTTTTGTGACAGTTTAGCCATGATGCCATCTTTCCTTGGAGCCTTGCTAATGTCCATCATTCAGATAGCTATTTCAAGTTCTGCAAGGCTTGTGGGGGTATCCCATTCATCGATGGGTGGTGACTGGGGCAGCTCTTCAATAACTGCAAAATCAACTTGAGAACTGCAATTCAGGAAATCACTGAATTGCTCACACCAGTATGCCTTTACTTTATCAGGATTGCAAAGCAAAATATTCATATCTTTAGAAGTCAGTGGAGAAAAAAATGATACTGACACTCCATATACAGCTCTTAGTTGATTGTATAGTGATTTGGAATCATGTTTGCAGAAATTTGAATTTGGTGCACCTTTGCCCACCAACAGGAGTTCTTTGCTGTGTGCAGCTCACGTTGCATGTGTGTTTTGCAGTTTTTAAAATCTATTTCAAGCTGCTTCATTTTAGCGAAGTTTGCTGGACAAGAAAGTAGCCTGTCCAGCAATTTCTTCTCTCCTAAGAGACCGATTATGAATTCCTGATTATCTGAGAACCAATGTTGTTGCTTCCTGCTGACTAAACCAAACGAGTCTACATAGACCTAACAAGAGTTCCAGAAGGGTCTGTCACTTTTGCCAGATCTATTGCCTGAACGGTAGAGTGAAAACATTCAAACTTTTCAGCACAAGGCATCTAGGAGATGTCAATTCTTTATGTAACCCTCAAGCCAGACTTCCTCATTTTTATTTTCACATACATACCTGTGTAGATATACAGATAGATATTTATAAAAAATATGACAAACTGGAAAGGTTTTTTTGTGACACATTAGGATTTCATTAAACTGGGCTTTGTTGACATTGCATGTCTACACCTATGCATAAAATGAGAGATGCAGGTAGATTGAAAATTTTTGAAAGAATTTTTTTTTCTCAATCTAACCAAATTCATCTGTATTCTTTTTCTTTTTCTCTCCATCACCTTTGTCCCTGACTATCCTACAATGTGACAATATAAAATCTACCAAGAATGGTGATATATTGCAAGAGCCTGGATGCAAATTTATCATGGCTGAATAGATAGATATACAAATTTATAAATGCTCATACACAAGAACACATCACATTTTTTGATAGGTATATTCAATAAAGTCAATATTTTGATAGTTAAATTCAATTATATATGCTGTCTGGTTCATTAGAGTTGATAATTGACCACAGACAGCTTTGAGTCGACAAACTACATGTAAGAAGAACTCAGAGGTGGGTGTGGCTTCAGTCAGATTAATACTACTTCTATGCAACATACACCTTCATAAAATGGGTGATCATGGCTCTCCACAATTTCCTGTCCTTTCTAGCTTAGTAAATTTTGTCTTTTTGTTATCTTTCCTAAACCCTGTTCTGCCATCCATTTACACAAGTTTGATAGGTAGGTTATGCACTGTTTTCCTCTTGCTTTCAATATGTTCTGTAAGTGTTCAATTTTCCAAGTCTTCTTTCTTCATTATTTACCCTAGAAATTTCAACTATCACTTTCTGCTGCTGTTGAGTATTAAGTGTTCTTTTTGTTTCCATTTTCTCTATAACTTTGTTGTTGCTCACATTTTCAGTTCATGGTATTCTCAGCATCCTTCTAAAGATCAGTACCAAATAACAGAAACCACACATTTTGAGGACTACCAACAGCAGCAATAACTAAAATAGATAGTAATTTTTATTCTTTTTCAATTTAAATGTGAAGCCCCCTAAAAAATACAGTGTAAAGAAAGATAAATGTACATTTAATTTTATTTCTGCAAGGAAACATTTGCCATTCATTGACCAAGCCACCAGTACTGCTTTCCATTTAAATTTATAAAATTAAAACAATTTTTCAGGAAAATAGCTTTTTCAAGTCCAATTGCTGCTATCACTTTTTCCAGTATTGATGGGGGTTTCTAACCAGTGTGCTGAATTCACCTGCAGACTGAAGCCTAGGGCCTCAAAATCTAGGGGGCCTCTACTCAAGGTGTATAATATTTTTGACATTGTCATATGCCTTTTTTATATATGTTTTCATAATGTATTGTAGATTCTAAACAACCCTTCAGTAAATTTAAACACTCATAATCATCCTCAGCTTTACTCAGTTTGTTTAATTCAACACTCTTTCATTTTCCTCTATACATGAGAATTGGAGATTTAGAGGAGCCTCGCAAGTGGAATAGCCTAGGGCCTCTCTTCATCTAAATCTGGCCCTGTTCTTAAGTTTTTATTTTGAAGTAGTGTGGAATGTTAACATCTTGATTGTGTTATTATTTTCACTTTAAGTTACATGTGATATCCATTTTAGATGTTACTACTGTTGAAAGTCCTCAATTGATGTAGTTTCTTTTATTTGGTACTATTCTTTCTTTGTGGTTCTGTAACACCAATCTATAAGGTTCAAAGAAGGAAGGTCTTCATCAAGATGCATAAAATTCATTCACTCAAAGCCATTTTTAACCATCAATCTTAGAAAACAGTTGTATACAGCTAACTGCTTAGATATTTCTGAATTGGTTTAGTGTCATGCATGGAATCCATATAAAAGTCCCAATCTTACAAGCCTATTTAAAAACATTACTTGAGTTTTCAGTTTAATGTTTTGGTTTTGTACCAATTTGCATTGCTGGCAAAACTACCACTAACACAGCCTATTCTATATTCAATTTCCTTATTGCCTATGCTAAATTTGTTATAAGTGATCCATACACTGAAGTATTTGAATTTTTTCCAATACTAATGTTTACCCAATACACACTCAAGAAACAAACAAGGTAGAGCATTACTGTGTGATGTGAGCATAAGAAAATCCAAGATAATGTTTACCATATATACTCATGGATAGATTGCACTTTTTTACCAAAAAATTCACAAAATATTAGGGGTGCAACCTATCTACTCGACATAAATGTAAAACAGCACCCACCTTGTCATCATGATTTCTGAGAAATTGGAAATGATACCCATAAACACTAAAGCTGCGGTTCTTCTCTGTATAGAAACAATTTATCTATCATATATACTGACTCACTGCTTAAACTTACCTCATGCTGCTAGATTCACATATCCATCACAATAAATAAATAGAATTATAAAATATTCATTGATCCATCAGTCACCGTTCAGTCGGGGCCCTTGAACTACTGATATAGAAACCCTGAACATGCATACATAAGTTAAGGAACCTCGTGTAGATGTTTATTGACAAAGAAAAAATAGTCCCACGATTCATTCTGCAAAATATATATATTTTGCCAAAAATACGACTTAAATAAATGAAATATATTCATTATGAAATAATTTTCTTTAATGGTTGTTTCATATAAAAGGCATTCTTAAGTGTTATTTACAAATAACAAAGTGCATGAATCTCGTACCCAAAACATTTGTACTATTTTGCATTGTGCAGTGATATAGTTGGTAGCCAAATTTACTGTTTATAATTTTAATTGCTGCAAACTGTAATCACGAATAAAAAAATGAGTTATGAAGCAGGTTTCAAATTAAAAGTACTAAATTAAAATTACTAAATTAAAAGTACTGTGGAAATTGATCTGCAAGAATGTATTATATCTGTTGGTTTTGAAATAAAGGTATAAATAAAGGTAGATATCTGATAATTCTTACATTTAAAAAGGGATGTATAACTCTCCAGATTATAGTGTGACCTATCTATGAGTCAAAAGTAAATCATCAATTATCAAGCCAAAAATGTAGGGGTGCAACCTATCTGGTGGGGTGACCTATCTACGAGTATATACGGTAATCTTAAACTTGAAGAGGTTAAGATTGTAGTGATTGGGAAAATATCCTGGCAGGAATCTTTTCTACGAAGCAGCTGTTCTTGGGGAGAATCTATCCAAGTGGAACTAGGAAGGGAATGGAAATGATTCACCCGTGTGCATGTAATATGGCAATGTTGCTTAATCTGTGATCAAATGAAATCTGCTGTTTCAATTAATTGCCTTTTTATTCTTTTTCAGATAAATATGTTATTGTTGGTGCTCATGTTGACTCCTGGACACAGGGTGCAGTAGATTCCGGCAGTGGTTATGCCATTCTTATGGAACTGGTCAAGTCATTCTCGAATGTTATGAAAAATGAAGGTAAGGTCATTTCAAAAGTGAAAATTCTGATTTGGTTTGGAGGAGGGAGTTCTCTTTCATTTTATAACGTTTCTATTCCAAACCTTACCTGCAAACCTAATATCAATCAGACATTCAGTATTTAATTGTTATTCTTATTTTATGTGCTGAGTCCCCTCAAGATGTTCTCTACAACGTCCTATCCTTTGTAGCTCTAAGCAAGTTTTCTCCCCTTACTATTCCTTCCAGTCCATGTTTTGTCATTCATTTTCACAAGCTCCTTAGGTATGTTACTTAGTGTTTCACTGTCACTCTTGTCTTCAGTATGTCCTGTGAGTGTCAAATTCTTCAAACCATTTTTCTTCATCCTGTATTCCAGAAATGCAACTATTTCTTTCTGATCCTAAATAAAATAAGAGAACTGATATTAAAATGGATATCTCTGTTTTCTCTGAGCCTACACTACCCTGCGCCAGGCTGTATAGACTAAAATTCAATGGAAACAGTTATAGCAGTGACTAAGCTAAATAAAAGAACAACATAAGTTGTTACCAGACATAGACAGCAAAACAAAAACAATCTATCCTTGTAGATTAAACAAAATTAAATTGAAAGATACTTGGATTACAGACATCGGAAGAAGGTTGGAATACACAATGTGATCACAAAAAAGATGAGGATATTAGTCTGATGGAAATTGTAAATAAAAAAAAACACTTACTGCATTTAATAGCATATAAGATCTTCCATTTTCCCCAAAACAAAATGGTTAAAAACTATAAAATCCAAAGAAAAATATTATTGGTTCTGACCTATCATCCTGGCATCAGTCACTTTCTTACAGCTATAATATAGCTTCCCTGAGATTTTTTTATATATACTGTACCTATGAACACTAATGGATATGTCCTGATCCTCATAAATACATCAGACACTATTGTAAGTGGGGGTAATATGCTGTCTAAGTAGTCTACTGCTAACAGTGGTTTACCTACTTCACACTGCTGGCGAGTATTGTATTTTGTTGATGTTATAAAGATTACCATTTTCATTTCCAACCCCTGTTTTGGTTATTCCTCATTCAGTAACCCTTTCTAGGTTACAACACTTTTCTATAAAAAAATATATGGGAAAATGAGATAGCTGATGCTATAGATTACAGGTACTTGAACGTAGCCTAACAGAAATAATTGTCTTTTTATGTCATCTGAACCAGTTTATGTGTGAATTTTAAGCAGCTGTCTTTATAGATATGATTATTCAAGCAGTTTTTCTTATTCATTTCTCTCAGCAAGAACATCAAAATTTAACAAGATCACTGTTTTTCTAGTTGAAAAGATGAGAAGTACAATGCAAATTCAAAAGACCAAACATCCGCTAATGAAGTCTAGAAAAGATATTGAGTAAAATATTGTGATATATTAAAATACCAATCTAAAAAGTATATAGGCTAATTATTGCAAATCTGGATAATGAGGATAGATAGCAATTAACCTTTGATTTGAAGTAGTTAGGGGAAATGTCCATGTGGGAGTTGACTGTCATAGCGGGGTGGGACACTGATATTACAATGCATTGAACACTCTTCTTTTTTTTCTTACAAAAGTTTCCTGTTTCTTAATATTTTGCTTAACATTTGGAAGGCATCTTTCACTATTCCAATGCACCTTCAGATTTCTGTATCACATTTCAATCATCTTTTATAATACTTCTCATATATTGAAATTTCTGTTCTTGCTTGAATCTGTCAAAACAGAAACAAAATTTGACAGTATATAATATCCACACAATTTTTTTCCCCAAAATATGGGAAGCCATAGTTTAGTAATTCTTAGATCTCACCTAAATCAAATAACGGTTCTTATATGTTAGCATAGTAAATGTATGTGAGTTGAAATTGGTGTACATTGCATTGAGTGCCTTTATACAACAGTTTTTGTAGATGTGATTATTCAAATAAATTTTCTTGTTCATTTCTCTCAGCAAGAACGTCACAGTTTAACAAGTTCATTATGGTTTTCCATTTGACAAGATGAGATTTACAATGAAAGCACTAAAGGCCACAAGATATAACTATAACATCTCCCAAAGAGGTTTGAAAACATATCGACTAAAACACTGTGATATATTAAAATACCAATCTAAAAAATAAATCGACAATTTAAATATCTGGGAAGTGTTTTAACAAAGTATAGAAAGTGTAATACTGAAATCTGAAGTTAGATTGAGATAGTAAAAGATGCTTTCCAAAAGATAAGCAAAGTATTAAGAAATAGAAAAATGTCATTAGAAACAAAGAGTACTGAACTGTTACATAATATCAGTCCTCCTATATGGCAGTGAATGCTGGACAATCTTTTCACAGATGAAGAAGAAACTTGAAGCAATGGAAATGTGGTTCCACAGAAGGATACTGAGAATACCAGGGATCAAATGTGAGCAACAACAAGGTTTGAGAAAAAATAGAAAGAAAAAATGACCCATACACTTAACATCAGGAAGAGGCAGTTGAAATTTCTAGGACACATAATGAGGAAAGATGGCTTGGAAAATTTGATACTCACATAATAGATAGGTAAGAGGTAGAGAAGAAAACAATGTATAACCTATCTAGCAAGCTTGAGTAAATGGATGGTGGATTAAGATGTAGGAGAGATTAAAAAAATTAAGATTATTAAGAGCTACAGCAGATAAGAAATTGTGGAGAGCCATGATCACCAGTGTCCTGAAAGCACATGGCACATGGCATATAGAAGACTGCAAATGATTATAATTTAAAATGTCTCATAATTTCCCAAAGGTAAAGTGTTTAAGATAGTTTTTGGTGTCTTTCTGGTAAATCTATTTGTTTTGTTTTATGGACATTATAACTATTTTTAAATAATTTTAAGAACTCAAGCCATCAGAATATTTACTTGACTTTTAATAATTTAATTTACTCTTACTTCAGACCAGAGACATATCAAAATGTATTTATTTCAAAAAAATCAAGAATGTAGATTATATATATATATATATATATATATATATATATATATATATATATATATATATATATATATATATATATTATTATCCAGGTAAAATGAGAACAAATGGAGTATAATTGCACTGTATCTAACATTTAATTTAAAATGGGCACAATACAGAGTAGAACTAAATATTATTTTAAAACATGTTAAAAATTGCTACACAATAACAGTTATGTTCCAACACTACAAATGTGTCTCCTTGGGCGATGTTAAAGTACTGGTGAGTCAACAATTAATTAATTGTTCATGTACCAGTAGTTTAATGTATAGTTTGTATGTAACGATTTTTAACATGTTTGTATTTTAATATCCTAGAATAAATAATACTTAGCTGTACTCTGTAATGAGCTCTCTTTTAAATTAAATGTTACGTACATTGGAATTATATTCCATTTGTTTGCATTTTAACTATATATATATATATATATATATATATGTAGGACGCCCATGGCTAAGATACAAAGACAAGCTGAAAAGCAACTTGTCAGCTGTCAATATACTACATAACACCCTTGAGCGCTTGGCCTTGGAGCGAGAGCAAGATCTAAAAGATCAGCCAATCTAACAGTGATCTCATCTCACAATCCTCACTCTTCCACCATATGTGGCCTCCTTTGTAAATCACTAGCAGGTCTTAAGTACCACTTAAGATTATCGCACAAAGCTGTCAGATCCTCATATGTCGA